ATCTTTTCCCTATCTAACTACCATCATCAGTTAGTTATTCTGCCTCTACTTACAGCCTGGAACCCGCCTGGAATACACGTGTTTAATTGGAGGTCTTGGCCTTACTAGCTGACCGACTCTATCATCATGAAAAAGGGTAATTCAATGCACAAGGGTTTCACAAGCATGGGGTTTGGGAAGCTCAAAAGTATACAACCTTACCCCTTTAAGCACAGTTGCAACTCATAAGGCAGTAACTACCCCCACCCTTCCCTTGGTCGGGAAGAAAAAGAAAGAAAGAAAACAAACTGCAAGTACACAGCACCATGTGGAGCATGGATCTAAGACACCGTAACCTTACTTCTAAACTATACTACAAACTTGGTAGTTGGTACCTATTTTGATTTCGTCCTTAAAATGAAGTTATGATTGTTGCATTCAATATGAAGTTATGTCAGATCACATACCTGGTCGGGGATAAAATTGTGAAATATGAACTTGAGGGAACTTGTACTCTTTAATAAGGTTGACAGTTTGCACAAAATCTTCATCAGTTTCACCTAAAAAATCACAAGAAATAAGTGTTACTAAGATCCATGCACTAACTTTCTTTTTATGCTTTCTAGATTATCTATATCAATACCAAACCATTTCAATCATAAGGCCACTGATTAAGGAATTAAAAGTATAAATGTTTTGTTAGAAAATGTAAAAATGTACTCACTCCTACATTTTATTTTAATGCATTCCAACACAATTGTCAATAAAAAGTTTATATTTACTGATTCCTTAACCATTACCCTTAGGCCACTGGTTAGCAAGACCCTAATCTTATATGCAACGAGAATGTTGTTTCACATTTCCAATTCATAAATGACCCAAAAATTTATTATGTTGTCATTTATTCAGTCAGTGTATAAGAATCTCAAGCTTAGACCTACAATTTGGCATGTTTTTGGACTAAATAACTCACAATTTCAAGAGTTATTTTAACACTTGATGTTTATTGCACATAAAATTACACATGGCAGGAAAAAGTATATAACAGAATATTCACTAACCAGGAAATCCACATATAATATCAGTGGCAATCTGCATCTCTGGCACAAGCTCAGTTAGGGTATCGACAACAGTCCTGAACTCACTCACAGTATATTCCCGATTCATTGTCTGAGACATTCAGGTTAGTCAATATATTATTTAGCATATTGTTGTATACAATCTTATTAATACTTTTTATGACTTACACTCAAAATAGTATCACTTCCAGACTGAACTGGTACATGCAGAAAAGAGTACACACATGGATGTTGCAAAATCTCCGCTATCTCTTTCAAATGCTCAAGGATATAAGGTGGATTAGTCATTCCAATACGCAGCATTGTGCTTGCATCAGCTGGTAGTTCTGCTACCAAGGCATTCAATAAAGTTGGAAGATTGACACCAATGTCACGACCTGTAAAACATCATGACCCAAGAAATCAGTGACATAAAACCCTATCTCAATTTTGTAACATTTTTTAATAACCTAATTGTCTAGAGTGCAAGTTAATAGGACATTTCTCAAGATCCGGTCCAAAAATATCTTAAATTAGTCAAAGATATTGAAGGACTCTGACCAAAATTAGAAATTACCATATGCCCCGGTGTCTTCACTGCTAAGCCATATCTCTTTAACTCCTTCAGATATGACAGATTTTACACGCCCAACCTGCATAAATGATGAATGAATTTAAAAGAGCAAACTGAGAATAATAAACACAAACACATATAGCTCACTATCATTGTACTTACAAGGCTATCAATTGTGTAACTTCCTAGGTGACCACGGGCATGCTTTGTCTTGCAATAAGTGCAAGCACCTAAACAACCAACATTAATAGGAAGAATCTCAACAAACTTGTTCTTCCTCACCTGTTAACAGAAGTACAGTGAACAATCTATCCCCACATTTGCAAAATTCATGTTAATATACACTATAGTATGCCAGAGCATAAAACACACCATACAACACCTGATTTAGAAAATAAAAATATACAAGATAATTGAGGCAAGGAAGAAATCTCCATACAAAATGAACAGGAATAACGAAATAAATTCAAACCTTTGGAAGGTCAAGTGCTGGCAATTTCCTACGGGTCAAGAGCCGTACTTCATGACCTTTTAAAGTCTCCTCCACAACTTCAACAACGCGATCAATTTGCTGGACTCCAACTATGCTGATCCCGTCCAGCTCTTTCAAATCTCGACTTCCTTGTGGAACACAGCCAGCAACAACTAGTGGTTTATTTGAAGATTTTCCTTTTGTTATGATGGTATCCATGGCAGATTGACTTGGGGATTTCACTGTGCAACTGCAGCAGTAATTATTTAACATGATTTTCTCTTCATAAGTATATACGGTTTTCTAAAAGATGATGCATTCATGTTACTATTCAATAGTTTGTTTGATGATTTCTTCGCCCCAATGACATACATATTCATTAATACAAACAATAGATATCAGAAGAATAACCTTGTTCTAGATTCTAAGATACATTGAGTGCACAAAATAAAATAAAAGTAAAGAGCATGAATGAGAGAGAAGGCTGACGTGTTTATAAGCCAGAGATCTGCTTCGTCAGGATTATCGCTCAATGAATAACCGAAAGCCGAAAGCTGACCAGCCATATATTCACTGTCACTCTGTTCAAATAAAAAACTCAACTTCACTAAGCTGAAAGCATAAAATCGTAGTGAATTAAGATAAGATGTGAGAAGCACTTGCCTGGTTATGAGAGCATCCAAAGGTCTTCATGTAGATAGTCTGCGGGAACAACCACAAACAGTTAGAAATTAGAAAAAGACAGAAACAAAAAGAATAATGCGATGAGACCTGAGTGCCAGGGATTGCAGGCGAAGGCGAAGGCGAAGGCGAAGCGAGTTGATTCCGCTTGGTCCCACCGCCAACGCCAACGCCAACAGCCGCTGCTAACGGCAAACGAAAGCCCGGTGGAGATGCAGTTCTGCTTCCAATCAGCAAATCCTCAATGTCTTCCATTCCCTCTGCCCTAAACGATTTTCCTTTGGATGCCTCAAAGGGAAAGACCAAAAACAATACTACTCTCTCCTATGAACACTGCCCACCCTAAAAACCTCTTTTTTTCAATCAATTTTATTGCCAATCCTCCTATTATCAATTTTATTCAATTTTTCTTTTATATTCTTATTTAATACTCTCTTAACTATTAGGATAATAATTTTAGTCATTTTAATTTCTTCCTGGGTTAAATAATGCTGCACACCAACATTATGAACTATATTATCTTTAAAACGTGATCCTCCTCCTCCTCATTGTTAGTTTTCAAATTTGCATATACATTTTAAATATAAAATCATAAATATAAATAGCGAAAGTTATAATTTGTTGTTGAAAAATTTCAAAGAATTCAATAATTATAATTTTTTAATTTATAAAAATATTTTAAATAGATATTTTCAATTAAAAATATTAACTCTATTAGAAAAATTTGTTTTTTTGGGTGTCATGTAATGAGCACAGTTTACTATTGTCTTTCTTAAGTTTCTTGGTTCTCCTTTCTTTTATCTTCCTTTTCTTCTCTTTATGATCTTCATCTTCGTTTATCAAATAAAAAGAGTCTTAGTATTAACACAATCAAATTGAATAAACAACACCACTGTATCAGAGAAGTGCGTCAAGCTTTTCTGTGTTATCTCAAACCCAAATAATTATGACTAAATTTTTGTTCCCATCTAACTCCTACCATGAAAAATTAACCCCTTGCCATTTGCAAAGCTTGAATCGCAAGCTTAAAAAGCAAAACGACGAAGACTAAACAAATCACAAGATATGCACCAAGATTCCTGCAAAGATTTTTCAACAAGTTTATCCTCTCAATTTCACTTCCTCGCATTCAACTCGTGTCAATGTTAACTCTGTCATCCATTCCTTTCAAACTCGTCAAAGACGGTAAGGAAAACAAAAAGGTGGAGAAGAGGAAAAGGCAAAGACATTCACTCTTGGGAAAACGATGAACAACACTTACGTAAAAAACGACAACTTTTAACATTTTTAACAGAAAAATTATTTATTTAAAGTATTTTTACAAATTAAAGGATTAAAATGAAAAAAAAAATTGAAAGATAAAATTCAATCTTACTTTAAAATTAGAGGATAAAAATATTAATTTTAACTTTCTTATAATCAAAATACAAAGAAATCATTATTTTCAGCTAAAACAAATTTTTTCTATGTGAAATATTTATAATCAAACACATTCTAAATATAGTTTGAATTCAACACAGGACCTAAAATATCTGTTTTATTATACTTTTAACCTATTATGATAATATAATATTAAGTGTACGCGTATAAAGTTAATTTAATTTAAATAATTCATATTCATACAATTTTTTTATCATTTAATACATTTTAATTAATTGTACAATTAATTCTATTAAATAAATTTAATTTAATCAATTAATTATAAACTTCTAGCTATAAAATTTCGATTAACATATCAACTATAAACCACAAGCTTTGCTTTCAACTAATTTTATAAAACAAAACCTTTCTCTCATTTTACTTAATTGATTACTTTGTCTCTACTAATTTTCCTTTCATAAAAACTACTAATGAAAAAACATGATATTTTATTTTAAAAAACCAGTTTAAAAGGGTCTTCTTTAAATCTTTTTCCTGAAAAGTCAGTATAGTAAAAATAACGTTTGAGTTTGTTGACAAATAATTATCAACGAGAACATCCAAAAACTGTTGAAGTAATAATGCAATGTTAATTTACAAAACATTTTTATCCTTATATATTCAAGTAAATTCTTTTTATTACAAAAACAACGGATTTCATGATTGAGCGACAAAATAATGACTTTGACATAATTTTTGTTTTAAAATTATCAAGCATATTCACGCAAATATCATAAACGTGATTTTATAGGTTGCAAACAGTTTCAACCATGCTCATAATAATGCAAAAATATAGACAGATAAAAACTCAATATACATGATGCTAACAGGTCTACGATTTTTTTCTTTCCATAAAAATGTTTTTGGTAGAAGTTCCACTCCCCATAAAATCATGAACAGACAAAATGATAAACAATAAACTAGGAAAAATAGTGACTGTCCTAGTAGCACTTCCAAGACTAATTCTGAACCATCAGCATAACAAAAAGACACATTTCAGGCTGATGATGCAGTTGTTAAAATTCCAGAGTCGTGATTTTATGGAAGATTGAGAGGACTTGATGGAGAATCAATTTCTTTATCCACATCCTAAGCCTTAGTCTTTCTGTATTTTTTACTTCCTTCGGCAATTTTACCATCACCCATTTCAGGCGATTGTTTTCCATAATTACTTTTCATTCTCTTTGCATTGCGCTTCACCGCTGGATTTGCCTCCTTTTTGGTATCTTTAACCTCACTAACATCAGGTCCTACTGGTGAACCGTTCAACACCTCTACAGAATTTTTGTTCACTGGGTCAGGACCTTCATCCTTGTCACCTCCATCGTCCTGTGATCTATCTGCATCCTCACTCGACTCCAGCGATTCTCCAATTTCTTCAGCCTCCGCTTTCAGTGATTCAATCGCACCCTTCAAATCTATATCAACCTGTCATACAAACCCATCAGCAGACCAGACGAATTTAGAAACCGTAGGTCTAAGAGCAGCATGATTTATGACGCTTAAACCATGAAACGTGTACCTGAAGGTTCTGAAGATAATCAGAGATGTCAATGGTGCAAGCAGGACATTTCATCACATTTTTCTGGGACCGAAGCGTTCTCCCACCCCTGCTTCTCTCCTTCACAAAAGCCTGACCAGCAAAAGCACCTTCCAAACACGACTTGCAAAAGTTATGAGCACACGGTGTTGTCACTGGTGAAACCATAACCTCCCTGCATATCATGCACGAGAACCCTGTTTGTGCGGTAAAACAAAATGCCAAGATAAGAATGTATTGTATTAATGGATATCACCGAGAAAGTCCATCATTGCCAAACGTATTAATATACCTCTCTGCAATTGTTCCTTGATTGACTTTATTTGGAATTCCATTTTTTCTCTGTTTGACTTTGACGCTGCTGCCACAATGGGTTCCTCGTTTTGTACCTTTTGTCTGCTGGGAGGTGGTGATTTCTTCCACTTCCAACGAGAATCTTCCTCCTAGATAAATCATCATCTACTCATTGAATATATTTACAAATTTCTAACTGCATTATATGATGTATATTTCATGTTGTACGCAATATTGAGAACGAATCCAAGGAAAATGAAGTCCTCAAGAATCAATCACTCACATCGAAATCCCAAGATGGAGTTTCGGTCCTTTCAAATATGACTGTAGCCTTTTTGAGTTCCCGAATGAGTGGCAAGGGTCTGGGCCTATCCCCATGATCATCACTGCGTTTTCAATTGAGATAACTTTGTAAATAGAATGGCAAAAACTCCAACGTGGTGCAGAATAGAAGAATAGGTACCTTGTCCAAGGGGCAGGTTCATTGTCACACCTAACGAATAGGTAGCGGCAAATTTTGAAACCCTGGTTAGGAGAATGTGATGTGATGAGAAAGGGTGCATGAATTGAAGAAGCAAACGGAGAGGCAATTATAGCATTGCACATATCTATCTACCTGCAGTCCCGCTATCTGCCAACACTTTTCAATTCTATAAATTCCATCGTAGCGCACTCCTCTCTCAGGGGCATAGGAGGATCGTTTTTCTTTGTGAGATCTGCTTATGCTTACGGGATAGAATATTAGAATGTGAATCATCAAAGCTCAAAATATAATAGCAATAAATTACCCTAGGCATGGATAACCAAGAAGAATGCATAACCTGACAACTCGAACCGGATAACCCTTGAGACAACTAACTTGGAGAGCACGGTTGTACTTGTCAAACTGCTGGTCAAAAGAGTGATTTTTGTTGGTGCGCTTGTTGCCACTGAGATCCTTACCACCGCTGGAATGGAAAGAGTTAAAGGATTGAATGGGAATGGGAAGGGGAATTGGGAATGGAGAAGGAATAGTACCTTCCGGTGTAGAGAAACCATTCGCCGTGATCCTGGTCGTCGACATAACCACCGGAGAGAACAACAGATTGGGCACCGCGATGGGACTGGCCGGCAATACCACCGATAGGGACGAAGTGAGCACCCCATTGCCTGCACTCCAACCTATCATTCCAACATTCACCGACCAGGACACCCTGATTCCGCAAAGGGTCATTCTCCGCCGTGATTGGACCAAAATGATCGGTGGGCACCGTCACGAATATCTTACCGCTGGCGGCATTTGCACGACCGTTCCTCTGGGCGCGCTCCGTAGTATATGGCTGGTCAGGTCTGTCCTGGTTGTGGAGGAAATGCTTAACGGTGTTTGAAGCCAGTCCTGCTGCTCCTCCTGCTGCTCCTGCTCTGGCCATGCGAATGGCGAAAACCAGTGCTGAATTGATACGGGGCTGGCTTGCCATTTTGGGGGGGATAATCTGGCGGCACTTTGCGCAACTTCTCTTTCCCTGCCCAATCCATTTCTCAAAGCACTTCAGACAGAAACTGTGTCCACACGGAGTCTGCGTTCACTTCTCCTTTTCAGTCGTTCACTCATTGAATCAAATCAAATATTATATTGTTTAATTTAATTTAATATAATAATAGCCATACCATACCATACCATACCATACCATACCATACGACACCCCAATAAATGTAAATATAAATATATAATATAAAAGAAAGAAAGGATGAAAAGTTGAGTGATTGGTTGGCGTTACAAAGTTAAAATAAAATAAATAAATGAGAAAAAAGAAAGGGTTGAAAATAAGAGACACAAACCGTGACGGGCCTCTCCGGTAGGTGGATGCAGATGGAGCAGTTGAGAGATCGAGCAAGAACATCGGATACTGACGACTTATTCTGTTTCTCTTTGTCGTCGTCGTCGTCGTCGTCTGGGTGGACCTTTCCGGTGATGAGGTGTTGGCGTTTTCTGGCTTTCTGGCGTTGGGTGAGAGAAGGATCGTTCTCGACGGCTAGCATTGCAGCGACGAGGTGGCTGGGGGCGGGGGCGTGTGCTGGGGGGAAATCCAGGTGAGGGTCAGAACAATCGGGGCAGAGCCAGTGATTGGTGGCGGCGAGGGTGGATGGAGGGGCGGAGAGACAGCGGGCGTGCCATGGGGTGTGGCATGTGATGCATACAAGCGTCTCTTCCTCCCCTGGCTTACCCTTGCATACCATGCACACGCCTTCGCTATCGCACGGAAGCTGCATCGTCATTGCTTTACTCTCCTCTCCTCTCCTCTCCCAAAGCAAGAGAAAGAGAGCTAGAGCGGGTTTTGGTTTTGAAAAGTGCGAGCGGTTTTGAATTCAATTTCAGCGGCAATCAGGTGTGTGCCCCCTCACCACCTTCCTGTGCGTCCCTGTTGCCTCTCTCCCTTTTTCTTTTTCCCATGCGTTTACCATATATGGCCCAATAGTATATTTAATATTATAAATTCGCATCGGTACTCTGTTCAAGTTATTTCAAGCCATTGGTCAAATCAGAAACTGTCTAATTAAATGATTGAATCAATATATCTAATAAAAGTTTAAAATTTTTGCATCTAAATAAATTCTAAAAAATTAAAATTATTAATAACATATTTTTGATTAAATAAAGTTTAAAAGTTGGTGGCAGTACTAGGCTCTATGGTGGCCTGCAAGCTTATTGTTTTCCCTTATTAGAGGGGCTCATTCCTGCAATCATCTTGTTGGTACCGGAAAAAGAGTCTTGTCCTGTTGGTTGTAGCTGATTTTGGGGAAATTACTGCTCGTAGACTTGTAGCTGATTAATGGCGCGTTGCTTGTGAATACAATGGATAAAAGATGAGAGATACGACGAAGAAATAAAAATAAGATAAATAATAAAAGAGAGATAAGAGTATAAACACGATAAAAAAAAATGAATGTAAAAAAATAAATATACAGATATAAGTTGTAGAAAGTATGAGATGAAAAATAATAAAAATATATAAATGTACGAATATAATTATTAAAAATCAATTAACCCTACTTTTCATCCAAACATTTTTTTATAACATCAGCATAAAAAGAGTGGGACAAAATATTGTGATTAAAGTGTTTAAATTAGATGATGTTGTAAAAGTAAAAACCCTACAATGAAATGAAATCACTAACATCAAATATTGAATGCTCAAATCTAATAATAAATTTCGAGTAATCTTATTCTGTTTTAATGTATTTATTTATAATTATTGATAAATTTTAAAGTAGATTTCATTTATGTATGTGTATAATAAGCTAGCTATTGAACGAATTTCCGAGGATTGACTAAAAAACTGGCGCATACTTTGTATAAGGAACTAAAATAAAGTTGAATAGTACAAAAATAAGCGTTTCAATTATACATGTCAAAACAATAACTTATCATATCCTTGGTACTTTTTCTTCCCCAGTTAACCATCTCGTCAACCAGCTTGGATCATCAGCAAAGAATTTACAAGATGTGGGAATGATCCCAAGGTCAGAACCGACTTGGTCATACTCCTTTAGAGATGCTTCCATTTCTGCTGCAACGGCAGCATCATTAACAATTTCAAAGGAACTCAAACTTAAAGCATCCGCATAGTGTTGTTCCCTCTCTGTGTCGTTTTGGAAAAGTTCCAAGGCAGGTCCCTGCATATGCCAATGAGAACAATAAGCATGAATACATGACAGGTTATAACACCAAGACATCGTAGATGTTCTTTTATATGCTTTATTTCATTTTTATCAGTTTTCTTTCTTTTTACATTTTGGGTTACGCAAACAGGACTTGACGCGATTCAGACCTCGGGTTTATTGTCCTCACCCTTCCACCATTAAACACCAAGAAGATCCATCGAAGCTTCTTTAAATTGATTTATTAAAAAAAAACTAACAAAGGAATTCTTAAAAAACCTTTCATGGGTCTGTACTGTTTATTTGAGGTCAGTACCTCTGTCTATAGCGGTTTATTTGAGGCAAGCAAGGGTAAGCGTTTCACAGAACGATGTCTAGATTGAAAGGAGCGTAGGCATGGTGATTATTAATGTTAGTACATACCTGACATAACTCAGCATAATGTTTATATATCTCACTGCTTTCATCTTGATCACCAAGGAGAGTACCTCCATACCAACCGTTGGCCTCGTTTGCTGAGGTAATTGTGAGGTACCTACAAATTTTATAGTAAAAAGAGTACCATCTGTAAACTGAACAAACAAAAGACATCAAATGAAATGAAACTAATGTGGACTGTCAACAGTGGAAATAAGCCTCCAAACGGACATCACAGGATTCTCAACCAGTCAAGAGTAGCAGTAATGAAATAAAACTTTTGTTTTCCGGTATACCTTCATAATTTAAACCAACTGAAACATGGTTATTGCTAGTCACAGAACATTATCGAAGTTCAGAATTTTCTGTGGCCTTGAAAATATTAACGGCTGTAGCTCTACTTAACAGATCAGATCCAAATGCACTAAGTTTGGTCTGTTAATCAGCATTGCTCAACTCTGCCTAAAGTTAAATAAATCACTAGGCACCAGTAAACATACAAATTTGTAAGTGGTGATCTAAAGTGCAGATGTTAGCCAATACAAAAATGACCAAATTGGATACCAAACATCAAGGGATAAAATGAAAGGTGCATCAAAGTCCTGCAAGGATAATGTGCTTTATAGATACATACCTTTGGAAAATGTCCTCATCATCCAAATCATTGCCAGAAGAAAGCCAATTCAAGTCGCAAAAGCCATTAGCTTGAGATCCTTCGACATCAGTTTCATGAGAAGCAACTTTTGCAGCCGAGGAACCCTCTTCATACTTTCTCTGGCCAAAAAGCCAATTTGGGCTTTTAAGCTGTATCTCACTGGAGATCAACAGACAATCAGTGACTCAACATAATTACCTTAGGTTACCTAGAGCACAGAATAACTTTTGTATCTCAAACCAGTCAGACATTCTGATCACTACTTCCCATTCAAAATGAGAGTACACTTGGTTAGGTTGGAAGGGGTGGCTGACATTGCAACTAAGTTTATGCAAGGAGTTTATAGTGATCAAGAACTAAAGATTCTAAGCTCACATATAAGAGATATTCTCTTCTACCAATCATGATACTTAAATTAACAAACTGATTAATGCCTTGCTTGTATTAGTCATTCAACGTTAGTTGGAGTTGAGCAAAAGGTACAATAAACTTCCTTCCTATAAACACTACTGAAGAACTATGAAAAGTGCATTGAAAATCCAAATTCCAATTTGCTTTAGTTAAAATCTTATCCAAACACACCGAATGTTGCTCATAATTATAATGTAATAAGCAAGCAGAAAGCAATAAAAGAAAAACTATCTAGTTCATTTAAATATCTGAGCATTAAGCACAGACAAAAGAACATGAGACCAATTCATTTATTGAAATAAAACCAGAAATACAATAAAACTCTGTGATGCAAGTATTAAGAAGCAAGAACGAAGGGACAATATCAGCTATAGTTAATGTAAATCAAGAAAGCAAGCTACAGGAATATAGTTTTAAAATGAATTACAGGAAAATTTCTAGAATCAACATATGCACATTACAATAATGTGAAAAAGGCAGCAATCAATAAAAAGGAGTGTATATGCGAGAAGTAAAATCATTAAACAGCTACTCAGAACAAGAGAAATTACGCTGCGTCAGGTGCTACACCGCTGTTTCCAGAACCACCCGCTGGCCTCTGATCAGGTTCACAGCAGAGTCTTACATCTTTAATTGTACTACAGGTCTTTTCAATTAACTTGTCAAATGATGTCAACTTTATCCGTGAGAAGTCTTCTCTGCAAGCTGGTATAGGGGTGAAGACCATTCCACCTCTTCCAGAAGGCTTAAGATTCAGTTCAGAACTGCAAAATTCAGGAGCAAATTGAATATTGAAAAGGCAAATAAACAATATATGTATGTATAAAAAAATGAGAAAAGCAATGCTGGTTGTAACATATCATAGAAGCATGTCAGTGGTGGATTTTAATACCAGTCATTAAGTAACCAGGAGGACTCACCACTTCTCAGGGATTATATCATCCCCAATCCCAGATACGTGGAGATAATAATCTGAATCCAGCTCCCAGAGAGCAGGTTTCCCTTCTTGTGGTTGGAAGTAACCTAAAAATCTGGCAGTAAAACAATGTCTTCAATATTTAACATTATTTATTAACAGATAAATTAAGGGACAGAGTACTCGAACATTAGACACCTAAAAATATAAAATTTTATTACAAGTATGAATTCTATCTAGGAAAGGAAAAGAACATTATTAATAAAAAAATAGGCGGAAGGAATAATACAAGTTTATTGCATCTTGTTTTTCACCATCTGTGTAAGCATTGCTATAGTATCGTTTTATTGATTTTATAAACTCTCTTGATTGTGTTGTTGCTCTCCACTTTCCCTGCCTCTCTGGAAACACCTGTCATTCACCGAAAAACACATATCACAACAGAAGCAGAAGAAGATGCAAAAATGAAAATTATATATTTGTTCAACAGATTACATAAATTTAGAATCACATAAAATATGTCATACTGTATTATGAGCTGCAGAACCACCATACTGGTGGGCAAGAGCATCTCCCATACTTTGATACATATCCATTAGAGCTGCAGCAATACTACTATCAGGATCCACTTTAGGCACATCAGTCAAACCCATTGCATGGAGCTGGCGTCCTAAAGCTTGAAGACCATAAGCATACTGGGCAACATTTGTACGGTCCAAGCAGTCAATGCAGTTGGTACGGAGAACTCCACTCTGAAAATATGGTGCATCACTACTAAAATTATCTTTTTTGTTCTGATGGTTCATGTCAGTCTCCCTGTCTCTAGTAACCACAGAATTTATCATTTCATTATTGTTCCCAGCCCTTGCAAGATCCCCAGAACTAGCTCTCAGATCTCTCAGTGAAGTATCCCTATAAAAAAAGAAAATGAGCTGAGAATATAAATAGAACTTCCTTTTTCTTGAGCAACATCTTTCTCTTTTGCAAGTACAAAATTAAAACTGCAATAATATGCAGAAAAACAAGAATCCCCTGGAAATAACACTGCCAACAACACACACAAACAGCAACCACACCATGTCCCACTAGGTGCCTTCAGCTGCCAGGCTATATGGGTCATGGTAGTTAAATCAAGATTCAAATCGTGAATAAGAAGACCTATTTTCTGAATCGTGAATTGAATCGTATCGTGAATCATAAGATTCATGACTATTGTTAAAAATATAATAAAAAATATTGTAATATAATGAAAAATTAAATTTATCCATATATTGACATTTTATAGTCAAATACTTTATTGTATAACTAATAAAATAAAACATAGTATAAAAATTCAAGTCACATCAACCACAATGACACCAAAAAAAGGCTGCAACGGTATAAATCATCCATAAATTGGTGGATCGTAACATGGAACATAAGACCTTACATAAAATATAAAATTATATTTGAATATATATATATACACACACACACACACACACACATAAAATATCATAAATAAGCAAAATAACCTTAAAATCACAAATAACATTTAATAAAATTTTAGAAAAATATATCATAACCCGTTAAAAATTATAACTCTAAAAAATACAATTCTATTCATTTATTTAAATAATATAAGTTTTTATAAATAAAAAAATAAAAATAAAAGCATTGTTCTACAATACCTAGCTCACACCTTGTAACATGTAGACAAATGTTGACCCAAAAAAAGGATCAAGAAACATGCAACTAGAAAAAAGAAAAAAAAAACAAAGATGCATAATAATAAACAAAATGGAATCAAATACAAGGAGAACGGGGAGAGGTGCTTGTATTCAAACACCCAACACCTATTTGCAAGACAAACTCACAGGCATAGTGACTAACACCCAGGAGCAACTCAAACTTGCATGTACAATAGCAACTAACACCAAAGAAATAGAGATAGAGAAGAGAACCCACTACCCACCCAGTCACACTCACATGCAGAGGAAGCAACACAACTGAACCGGGTCATGCTTGACCCGGTCTGTGGCAGAATCATCTGCTGCACACAAGAATCCCGATTCAGCACCGATTTGTGCGATTCAGGGGATTCAAGCTGCGATTCTGGAACAAACCCGATAGTATCTTTCAGTTGCAGAACCACATCAAATCGCATGTATCGAATCGCAAATCGTGCGATACTAACTACCATGATATGGATCAATTGATTACATTCATCTCTATAACAACTATGATAAACCAATTAGTGTTAGGTCTTTTTCAATGCTCTACTGGTGTTGTTACCAACACAAGTGCTGTTACCAACACAAGTGTTGTTACCTTATCACCACCAAAATAATATATTTATTGAATTATTTAACCATTTAAGCTTAAAGTTATGGTAACAATATTATATAGGTTTTTCTAAAATCTAATACATCTAAACAATATAGAATTAAATGCAGAATTACATTTTTATTTCATAAATTTTTTTGCAACCAAATATAAAACGGCCTAAAGGCCCAATGGATTTTTGAGTCTTTGACTACTGGTACGATGGGGTTATTTCTTGGATAGCATTGACATAAAGACCTAACATTCTATTGTTATCATCAGCAATCATTATTATTTAATAAAGATCAGGTGAAGCTTTCTCTTTTTCATCTAAAACCGAAGAAAAACAGAGAAAGGAAAACACATCCCCGAAAGCAGTATTGCAGTTCAATGACCAAAAATGGATAACCAAGGAAAGGTTTAAAAGAAGTATTAAGATCCAAAAATGAAAAGAAAGGAATTGAAAGCTTATTCAATCATCTTATGTTTCTAATGGAGACTTCTAGTCCTATATCCCTAATTGGGGAAAAATGACACAAGAGGACCATATAGGAGCAGGTGGTTTACTGGGAAAAGGTTGCAGACCCCTGCATTTTTCGTATCTTGCTTGTTTAGAATACAAAAGCACATGGCTAGACAAATACAGATCATTTAAAAAATATTTTCAAGTTACAGGTATGGTTCAATCAAATCTTAGAAGAAAAAACAAGCAAAAGACTGTCCTGAGTGTTAGGTAAAATTTCAATGATGGATCATACCTTCCTGTGCTCGTTCGATTGCTCTTGTTGGCCCTCTTTATGATGCTGGGTTTACCACTGTAGTAAAAACCAGTTAAATCAAGTGCTTCACTTGCTACAGCTCCTAAAACTGCCAAAACATTGGCAGACTTGCTTTGAAAATGGCAAAGAATAATAGAGAATAGTCAGTTTGAGTTGAACTGCAAAAAAATTGAAGAAACTGCTACTGTGGGACAAAAAAACAAAGCATATTATTCTTCTTACCTCTTTGCAAATTTGTGAAAGTCCCAGTGAATAAATCTAAGATGGTTCTCTACTGGCAGAATTTGGTTCAGATACCCAACAGCATTTGCAAATTCACGCCTCAGCATCATTTCTCGAGGCCGTTTCTCAACTGTCTGCATTCAATCATCCAAATGAGCTACAAGAAAGTATAAATAACTTTCTTTTTATAAAAGAAGCAATTAATTAATACAAGGAAAAAAAAATAGAAAGAATTAGGAGGACGATGAATCCTCCTTCAGAAAAGAGCAAAACACAAAACAACAAAGGAAAAAGAGAACAATCTGATAAACTAGGGGCCAAAAAGATTTTAGTTTTCAATTAATATAGTGTGATGAAAATTATAATAAATTAGGGGCTGAGGATAGTACTTGTTCAACAAAATGTGCATGTAATAAATTTTAAAAGGATTAAATATGAATCAGGGGCCAAAAACATTAATGTCTGGATCCAACAGAGAATCAACTAGTTTACAATTCAACATTTCAGCTTCCTCAAGGATATCAAGAGAATACTTTCTTTGGGAAATAGAAATTCGAGTCTATGACTGAGCAACTTCAATCCAAAGACAGTATCTTAATTGATCCAAGTCTTCTGGTTCAAAGTGACTAAGTAGATGCTCCTTTAAACGTAGAATTTAAGTATGATCATTGCTTGTTATGACAATATAATCCACGGAGACCACGAGATAGATACATACATAGATTTAGTGAGTGCTTATAAAATATAGTGATCCATTTTACTTAAAGTCATTCCAAATTTTTGTAATAACAAGATGAATCATCTAAAATCAAGGAGATTGTTTAAGACATATAGCAATTTGTTAAGCTTATAAGCCAAATGGCCCAAATCTAATGACCCGTGAGCAACAAACATTAGAGGTTGCTCCGTATAAACTTCCACAGTCAAGTCTCAATGCAACAAGACAATTTGACGTCCAACTGAGGATACACTGATTCATGGCTGCTATGGATAAAAAAAAAAAATAGACAAAGGTTTGCAACAAGAGAGAATATAACCCCATCATTGACCCCAAAAATCTGGGTAAAATCTATAGCCACAAGCCAAGCCTCAGGGTGATCCACCACAGTATAATTTGACTCAAGTCTGACAATGAGCACCCATTGATAAAACTATTATCATCTGTTTCCACACCTAAAACTATTCTTGAATCCCTTTCCCATCTAGTATGGCAGCAAGCTATGATTGAGGATATGCAAGCCATAGAATCAAACATGACTTGAACTCTAGTATCTCATCTCCCAAATCAAAATCCTGTGGCTTATCCAGTAGCTTGAAGAATAGAGAAGTTTTGGTGGGAGATAAGTTTGGGAAAAGGGAAGGATGACCAGCTATATGATCAAAAGTTCCACAGTCCAAAATCCATTAGGCAGAGACTAAAAAAAACAGATTGAGGCATTGCCAAAATTCATAACTACTCCTCGCACTCATTTTCTGATAGGGGAAACTTTTTTATTTTGAGGAGTTACATCCTTTCTCCTGAGGTTCAGCTCCTGTTATTGGGACAAAATTGTGGTTTTCAGGAAAACCATGCAAAGAGTAGTATCAGACTTAAATGCACTCCATACACTTATAACAGGAGTATTATGGTCTATTTCTGTTGGGGTTGTTGGCCCAAGTGACACGCTAAGCAAAGGGGATTAGTTATAAGAACCTGTTGAGAGGCCCAAAGTGTGGGGGTGTATGTGAGAAAGGAGTAAGGGAGAATTCAATGAATAAGTTAGTTAGAAGAAGGTACATTATGAGAATGATTGGCATGGTGTGGAGGCATTTGAAAAAAAACAAGTTTTTGCATTCTCTTTGAGGGGGATGAATTCCAGTATCTATTGGGATTTCTGTAGAAGCCATAGGCTCTGGTTATGTGTACTCATCCTTTTCTTTGTAGTATTCAATAATACTTGCATTTCATTCTTATTGATTTCCATCAATTGGTCTGACTTGCCAAATACATTACACTACCACCTATTTATGAGAAAGAGCTCATGGCAGTAGCTCTATCAGTTTTGCATTGGTGCCATTACTTAATGGGGAGGAAGTTTATTGTATATTGAGATCAGAAAAGACTTGAGGACTTATTGCAGCAACAAGTGGTTTCGGTAAATAAGCAAAATTGGTTAGCCAAATTACTTGGCTTCCAATTTGAGGTGATATATAAACCAAAGCCAAAGAAAACAAAGTTGCTGATGCACTTTCCTGTTTTCCCATGGAAGGTGAATTTGCTTGTTTAGTCTCTTCTGATTTGGCAAGAGCATAGAGTTTAAAAAAGGAGGTGGATATGGACCTTGTTGACAATCTCTAGATTTCCGTTATTAATATAGTTACCATTCTTTCCTTTTATATAGAATCTAATTTATTATGTAAATAAGGTAATTAGGGGTCAGCTGTAATTACTCAGCCAATCCCTATAATCAAAGGATTCAGTTTGTACAGAATGTTATTATAAGGACTGCTGAATGACAATGACTGAACTCAGATTTTACCCTAATTAGTTTGTGAGCTTCTGTCTCAAGTTGGTATCACAGCTCACATTCTGTGGGCTTATAAAAACAAAACACATAGAACCATCAATCCTAGTTGTCCCAACGTCTGACCACCATTTGGCCTAAGACTTCGACACTAGCCCTGAAGTCTCAGATTGGTTGTCCCACCGATTGCCGCCATCTCCCGGCAGCCCACGCGCACTACCCATAGAGCCAGTTCATCGGCACATGTAAGCCACGTGTTGTCCTACGTGACACCATTTATCTCGCTGCAAGTGTCATTCCCCTTGTCGGCACACCCTTTGTCTCTTTTGGGTGTCATTTTTCAGGTTGATGAACTTTGTTTAGTCTCTTCTGTATCTCACCTTGTTCAATAGTTATGCCTCACGTCCAACAGAGTCACCTCCTAAGTTAACTGCGACCTCTGACAGCACTGGATCCTTAAGCAAAAACCTTATATCCTTTGTCTTCTCTAGAAATCCATCAATAACTTCAAAGAAACTTAATGGAAAAAATTATATGGATTGACAAGCTGCAGTGGAAATCTGGTTTTTGAGTTAAGGCCTCTCTGACCATCTGACTAAGAAGACAAATGACATTAATCCCACTGAATGAGATCAGTGGAAGAAGGCTGATTATCAGTTAGTTTCACTTCTATGGCAGTCCATTGATCTGGAGTTGTTAATCCATTTTTGTACATATTCTTGTTACAATATATGAAAAAAATTCAAATGATGTTCAATGTCTCTATGACGTCATACATAATTTGGCTGCACTTAAGATTTTGTTTAGATGTTTGGAAGGGGAGGAAAGAAAAAGATTTGAAGGAGGAAGCCGGGGAGGAGAAGGGAGGGTTTTAACCCTCTCTTATTTGGATATTTAATATTGAGATGTGAGGGTGATGGGGGTTTAATCATGTAAATGACATTATTGTCTTTTATATTTTTTATTCATATTATTTTTATCTTTTTTTTCAAAAAATAAAAAAATTAAATACTTTTCTCTCTCTAAAAATTAATACTTTTACATTTTATAAATTTTTTTAAAAAAATCTCACTTTAAAAACTAACACATTTTGACCCAAAAAAAAATAAAATAGAATCCTAATTCTGAAAGAACACGAGAGAGTGAGAGAAAGAAAAACTTCCAGAATAGGGGAACTCAAAAAACCAACACTAGAAGTGTTGGACATTTTAGAAAAATTCCCTAACCCTTTCCATCAAAATTAATTAACTTTCAAACAAGGGTGAAATCTTACTAACTCCTTTCTTACCCTTCCCTCCCCTTCTAAACATGAAATCCAAACATAACCTAAAATGATAGATAATGACCTCCCATCATATTTAAACAGAGCACAATCCACCATTGATGAAGTTAAGTTGGTCTTCACAGGTGATGACATTCAGAAAGTCTTAAACAAGATTGATAACATTTGCATAGTGTTCATCCTTCATAGCCTTCACAAAGATTTTGAATTTATTCGGAACCAAATTCTGACAAATTTAAGTGTACCCATAGTAAAGAATCTCATTGATCATCTACTGCATGGTTCCTCACTAGAAACTATGTCAGGAAATGGTTCCCAACCAGGTTTGGAGTCTTCTACATTCTTCTCTAATATGACCAGCCATGGAGGTTGAAGTTGTGGAAGAGGAGGTTGTAGTTCTGGAAATAGTCCACAATGCTCTTATTGTAAATGTATGGCCCACACTCAGGATAAGTGTTATTCCTTAATTGGGTTTCTTAAGAAATCAGTCAATTTGGCATACTCTTAGTCTTTTGCCGAGAAAAAGCAAAATGAACTTGGTGGAGGCAATCAGAATATTTTGTTAGATATGGAGTATAAGAAGTACCTCCAGAAGATAGCAACACAACAATCATTCAATTTTGTTTACTAATGACTCCCCATTTAAAGTTCCCCTAAGTGTTTTTGGTTCCACTTGTTTTGTCCATGATCTCACTCCAAGTCTTGACAAATTCCTCATCCACTCATTGCTTCTATATCTTAGCTTATATCACATTTTTAGAAGATACACCATATTTCATCACATCAGTCTCTTCAAACACAATTTCCCATGTTCTTACCATTTTTTACTATATTCCTCTTGTCACTAATCCTTCAATTTTTTATGTGCCAGAGATTCCTAATATTCCAACTCCCTCTTCACCTGCTATTCCTCATCCTTTGGCTACCTACCAACATCGACCTTGTTTTGTTTCATTGGAAGTAGTTGTTAAAGATTCAAACAATTCATCTCCTACGTCAGTCGCTCTACCTACTCTGGATCCATTTGAGACACATGTTGTTTTGCCAATAGCCCTTTGAAAAGGTACACGTTCAACTCGAAATCCTCATCCCATTTATAATTTATTGAGTTATTATCATTTATTCTCTTCTCATTTGTCACAGATTTAGACAATTCATCTCCTACATCATTCGCGCTACCTATTCTGGATCCATCTGAGACACCTATTGTTTTGCCAATAGATCTTTGAAAAGGTACATGTTCAACTCGAAATCCTCATCCCATTTATAATTTTTTGAGTTATCATCATTTATCCTCTTCCTATGCTGCCTGTCTGTTATTTCCTCAATTACTATGCTTAAAACAGTC